CTTATCGGACCAGCGGGCAAATCGAGGTAAGTGGCTGTCGGGTACCAAGAAATCTCAGGGTAGCACAAAAGTTCGATGACTGAAGACCTTAAAAGTCGTTGACCTACAACAGTAGGCTCGTGGTGTGCTATTCGAAATCTGTCTGATCAACATGAACTTCAAAAAAAATCGTGACCAGGACTCAACGAGCCTTCACCATAGCTCCCTCCAATTTGAATACGGGCATCCATCTTACGGGCTGAACGGACTAAAACCCCTTCACATACTTGTGCGCATCGGTAATCTCCATGACCTCGAATCGCATTCCTACTTCAACATTCCCTTCATTCCTTGGACAACATAGCATTCCGAAACAGGGTTTGAACTTGATGCCCTCATCCACCCTGCGATAACTGACCAACAGATCCCAAGGCTGGTGGGCATCCTTCTCTGCGGTATCGGGATCGACATTGGGTACCGTGCAGCGAGCACATCTCGCGACCACATCAACGTCAATGGCATGTAAGTTGCCGCCTGTGAGTGTAGTCCAGTACGAAGAGTCGCCGTTGATTCGCACTTTCTTCCATGAGTCTTCGGACCATGGCTCTCCACCTTTGATTATGATGTTTGGGCGAAACCGCTCAATGGTAATTTCGCTTTCGCCTTTCTCCTTCAACCTCGAGTTCAGTTCGGCAAGCGATGATTCAGACGCGATCTGAATAGGGAGGACGTCCGGAAAATTGACGCTTTCTGTACGTCCTAGTCGGTCAGGAGAGCCATTGCCGGAGCATATCCTTGGCTCAGGACCCTTCATCACCAGGCGAACTTCTTCCCCGAAAAACTCGTGGAAAAGACCTAGCATCTTTGGATCCGTGTACGCATAGGCGTCGGTGATAAACTCCCAGATGTCGACCGAAACTTCTTTGGTGTTGTCACTGAGCCACTCCTGACTAGGGTGAATAGGCACCTTGACTTGCTTGGCCGTGTCGTGGCCTATGGTTATCACTAGGCTGTCCGAGTCGTGATCAAGTGCGGTATTGATCAATGTCATCTGTGGTTTTGTGCGGATGGTGATGAATTTGTTGCTGCTATCAATGAACTAAACGCCTCCACCATGTATCGTCAGCCATCACCGGTAGGGAAACTGCAGCATGCGTTTGGGTGTCATGCACTTCTCAGAGGAAGAGCGGCGTTGCTGGTCGAGAATGAGGACTCACCATCCATCGTCTATCCAGCTCCAATCCCTGCCTGGTCAATCTCGCCGACTTTAGAGAGATCCCTCGGCATGACTTGATGGGATAGATGCGCAGAGCTGTGATCTCCGAAGTTGTGTATGTCATTTTTATTCGTATCTGATGGGGTTTCTTTTTTCCTTTGGATCAGATTGTTTGAGTGCGCTCAAATGGAAAGTTGTATGGGAGGAAAGGGTTGTGGAGATAGGTGGGAAGGACTTGAATATATCTCTATCTGACGATGTTGGTCACTATTTCCTCATCGAATGTCATTACCGCTCCGAGTGAACAACTGGGGTCTATCACATGAAAGATACGAACGTCACAGCTCAACTATAGCAGCGATAGTTACCCCTAAAACGGCAACGCACAATCGGTGTCACATTCCATTTATGGTAATAATGGGCGAATGACTTGTCACGCCCGCGGAACTACGAGACTATGGCTGACTGGGCATTTCACCTACGGGAAGAAGCGGCATGAATGCTTTCGTCCAATCCGATTCCGCACTTGTTGAACCAGGGCTTAAGAAATTTCAAAATAGGTATGCAGCCTCGACCAATGTGATAGCCTCGTCTTTTGTTTTCATGTTCTACAGGTCGCCAATATGGAGACTGGCATTTCGAAGGCCCCGGCGCCAGGTGCGCCCGAAGGTCCCTCTACCACTAGCGTCGAGTCCGAGTCGAAGCCTCCAACCTCTCACCAAAGTGGAGCAACGCATGTTCGTGAACAGGAAGGAGGTGGTTCAGATGCAAGACGTTCGAATCAGAATGGCGCTACAAGGCGAGATGCCCGAGGTGGTCGAGGAGGTCGTCAGGGCAAGAAGAGAGATATGGGGAGGAAGGAGTGGGCGTAAGTTTTTTTTCTTTTCTCTTCAGAATGAACATACATATAGAGGCAGTCCGCGAGGGGTTTGTTTCGGTCACTTCTCACATTTTCTCGGGAATCTTCAAAGACTGACTTGCTAAGTAAGACCAAAGTAGACAAGCGCCAACGGAACGATGACGAGCAAGCCGCCAAACGCCAACGCATCGACCAAGGCAAGGAGGAACTACCGATTTACGCTACAAAGTTCAGCGAGGAGGTGCTTGCGGCCGAGGAGAGAAGACCTAAAAAGAAGGTTGCTGTCCTTATTGGATACGCTGGAACTGGCTACAAGGGGATGCAACTGTAAGGTTGACGGTGCGACTGTTTCATGCTAGAGACTGACTCCCATGGGGTTTAGAGCGCATGACCAGAAAACGATCGAAGGAGACCTCTTCCAAGCCTTCGTTGCGGCCGGCGCCATATCCAAAGCCAACGCTGACGATCCCAAGAAGTCTTCCTTTGTGCGGTGCGCGCGGACCGACAAGGGTGTCCATGCCGCCGGCAACGTGATATCACTGAAGTTGATCATCGAAGACGAAGACATAGTAAAGAAGATCAACGAAAATCTGGTCCCCCAAATTCGGGTCTGGGGGTATGAACGGACCAGTAACAGTTTCAGTGCTTATCAATTGGTCGACTCCCGGATATATGAGTATCTCATCCCTACACACAGCTTCCTACCACCACACCCGAGCAGTTTTCTTGCGAGGAACTGTGAAAAATGGGCAGAGAAGAAGGGTGACGTGGACGGGTACAGAAAGAGACAGGAAGAAGTATTGGGATACTGGGAACGGGTGGACGAGGAGATGATCAAGCCGATTCTGGCGGAATACGACGAAGAGATTCGTGCCATTCTGGAGAAGGCACTGTGGCTGAAAACAGAAGGTGACTACGACCGGGCCAGTGGTGCAGACCTGTCAGTTCCTACGACTACGGAGGTTGAAGGAGACGTTTCCAAACCAGAGTTGCCGCAAGAAGCGGAAGGCAAAGGTGCAGAATCGCAGGGCAAGCTTCCTGTAGACAGCAACAATAACGAAGAAAACACCTCCCCAGCAGAAGACTCAACAGATCCATCCAAACTACCGCGATCGCGTATCCTCGAAGAAGCTACGAAACGGATCCGGCAGGCCTATATCGCCGCCAAACGAGCCTACCGCATTGCCCCTGAACGACTCGACCGGATCCAAGAGGCACTCAACCTGTTTGTGGGCACACGCAATTTTCACAACTACACCGTCCAGAAGACTTTCAAGGATCCCAGCGCAAAGCGAGTCATCAAATCCTTCCTTGTCAATAGGACGCCCATCCTTATCAACGGCACAGAGTGGCTGAGTATGAAAGTGCACGGGCAGAGTTTTATGATGCACCAGATCCGCAAGATGGTCGGGATGGTCGCGCTCGTCGTGCGTTGTGGATGTGAGCCTAAGCGACTGGTAGAGAGCATGGGACCTGACAGACTGTCCATCCCCAAAGCTCCTAGCTTGGGTCTTCTGCTCGAACGTCCGGTATTCGAATCATACAACAAGCGTGCCAAAGACTCACTCGCCAAAGAAGCCATCGACTTTGACAAATACAAGGAGGAGATGGACAAGTTCAAGCAGGAACAAATCTACGAGCGCATGTACCGGGACGAGGAGAAGGACAACATCTTTGGCAATTTCTTCAATCACGTCGACAACTTTCCTAGCGAGCCCTTTTTGTTTGTCACCTCAGGCGGCATCGAAGCAACAAGGACGAAACCGTTGGTTGGGGCGATCGAGAAAGACGAGACAAAGGGTGCGGACGCTCTATTGAATGATGGGGATGTCGGTGTCGACGACGAGGACAGCGATGCGGACAATACTGTCAAGGATAACCATGGTGACGAAGGCTGATGCTTTTCTCCTCAAAAGCGTGGATTTTGAGGCCTACAAGGCAACATGGCCATGACTAGAGAGTACCTATTGATAGTGTATCTTGTCAAGCCACTCTTCTCTTGTGCTGCATTGCGCATACTCATGACTGCGGTACAACAGAAAGTATTTGAGCCTTTCTTTATGCTTGGTAGAGCTTGGCCGTTGACGAGTCTACCTGGGTACGTAGAGAGATGGTTGAGGCTTTTTTTATATCAGTAAGTCTGTAAGCATGTCTAACAAAGCACATCACACTACTTATCATACCGTAGTGAGGACTTCTTTGGTGGTCTTTTAACCTCGTCGTTCGATAGTCCCTATACCGTTGCCACATCACATGCCTAGTTACAGTACTGCGCCGAGTACCTTTCTTCTTCAAAGTCCATGGCTGTACCGTGACACGCATTTTCCATCACCAGACTGGGAATCTGAGAGCTACCGCCATCCATCCCTCACTCCTGCTCATTTGTCTGTCTCTCACCCCGTTCACGAAACCCACACATGACGGCGCAGAACTCGGACTCGAACTCAAATCTGAACCTCTTGCTCCTCCCGATCCTCCTCCTCCTCCTCGCAACCCCCTTCAGGTATTCTGACGCCCATCCACGCCGTCGCCGCCGCCGCCGCCGCCGCTCTCGGCTCTCTATCATCAGCGTCCTCGCGGTCGTCCTTATTGGGAACGGTGCTGTGGGAAGCATTCCAAATCTGTCTGGGCATGCAGACGGGACTGAGTTCCAGCGTGGTGAATCAGAGCGAATTCCCGGCCTTCGTGGCCATGACCACGGGTGTAAGGTTGTTCTCTCTGTCTCTCTGTCTCTTCGGTGTGAGACAAATGTTAATATGCATACAGTATGTCTTCCGCGTTCGAGAACCAGGCTACGGTCATGTACCTTCAGAGCTAGCTGGGCAAGGAAGTGGTTACCATGTAATAATAATAATAAGGACGGCTGGACTTTCTTCTCCTCACGTTTCACTTGTTGCGTCGAGAAAAAAAAAACCTAATTGTATCGTTATGCGTTATGCGACCAACTTAACCCTCAATCTCAAACGTCGTCCTCACCCCCATGGCCGCCAGCTCAACATCCAGATACCTCAAAACTCCAGGCACGTTGACCACGGTCGTGTCGTCACCACCGACAAACTTCCTTCCCGCCCCGTCCTCCCACACGGTAATCTTCGCATCGTCAAACGTCGCGGGCCTCGCACAGGCCCGACACCTCACGATGCCGCTCGGCTCGACCCTGCCGCCTCGCCGCTTGATGGTGAACTGGTTCGGCACCATCATGGTGCTCAAGAAGCTGCCGCAGGCGCGACAGACCCAGGCGCGCTGCTTGTCGCTACAGTCCATGAGTCGGTCTTGGAGGAGGTACGCGCAGCCGTGCGCGATCAGCGAGTCGCGCTCCATTTCGCCGACGCGGATGCCGCCGCCCTTTGCTCGTCCCTTGATGGGCTGGCCGTGCAGGGCGTTGACGGGCCCCGTCGTGCGCACCTGGAACTTGTCGCTGACCATGTGTCTCAGGCGCTGGTAGTAGACGACGCCGATGTAGATGTCCGCCGCGAACTCTTTGCCCGTGATGCCGCTGTACATGGGCTCGTTGCCGTAGAAGTTGTAGCCGGCCTGCAGGAGCTGCTCGCCGAAGAAGTTACCCGCCGTATGGTCCTCGTCGAACGAGAAGGGTGTGCAGTCCTGCGCGAGGCCGTGGAGGGCTCCAGATTTGCCGGCCAGGGACTCGACGAACATGCCGATGGTCATTCGAGAGGGAAAGGCGTGCGGGTTGATGATGACGTCGGGTTGGATGCCTGATTCGCTGTAGGGCATGTCCTCGCTGGGCCACAGCATCGAACAGACGCCCTTTTGGCCGTGCCTCGACGAGAACTTGTCGCCGATGACGGGCCGTCGGGGAATCCGGTACTTGATACTGATCGCCTGGCAGGGCTGGTCTCCCGTCTCGGCGCCAATCAGTCTGATTTGGTCAATGTACGCCTCCTCGGCGTCCTTGTACTTGAAGTACATGGTGTTTCCGTCCAGGTTCTTCAGCTTGCCTTCGGACGGATCGAACATGACACTGTGGTAGGCGAGAACGATCGATCCCTCGCCGACTTTGGTCCCAATGGCGGGCAGGCCGTCGGGATCGAGCGCTTGAACCGCCTCGGGTGAGATATTCGGGTCGCCTTCTGCGAAGCCAAAGAGAGACTTGATTTCGGTCTTTGACCGCGCTGCCCTTGAGTCTTCATTGAGCCTGTACACTTTGGTCTTGTAGATGACACCATCGCCGAAACCCCGTTCGTGAGAGGACTTGTTGATTATCATGGCATCGTCCATGTCGTAGCCTGTGTATGAGATAACGGCCACGACGGCGTTCATTCCGTTGGGGAAGTTGTCCAGGCCGTACTCGTTGTACAACGGAGGTCTTACGACCGGCGTCTGCCCAGTCTGGAGCAGATACGCTTTGTTGTCTGTTCGGCACATCATGTTGGACGAAGGAGTACCCATTGCTTGCTTGCTCATTTGACACTGGTACATGTTTCGAGGTGACTGGTTGAAATCCGAGAAAGGCGTCATGTTCGCAAGGATTGATAGGACATTGGTCGGCTTGAACTCGATATGAGTTGTCAAACTAGGTATGATGTCCGCGTCCACACAAGCAATGTTCATGTACTGCTGCTCAAACGGACCAATGTAGTCGGGTTTATCTGACGGAATGTACTTGACAGGTCGTAGCATCCGCGACGGATCAGTGAAGAGGTACAAGCCGGGATAGAGACCGCCATTCGAGGTAGGAACATGGCCGATTTCCATTTCATTCGGAATGCTGTGTTGGCCATTCACCTTCCAATGTCGGAGAAGCTGGGAAATTTCCCTCGCCCTCTTTGCAGAGCAGTAACCCAATATACGACCATCGAGTTGGACCGATATACTCTCGCTGACAGTCATTGAAGGTACGGAAGCCAGTCCGAGCTGCACGACCGCTTTCTCAATACCTGAAGTATCAATCCGCTTGATTTGGACTTGGCACTGGTGGGCTAGATGGTTCAGAAGACCGCATGGGGCCCCATCTGGAGTGTGAACGGGGCAGAGAAATCCCCAACTCTCCGGCAATAGTTTGCGTACTGTCGTGGTCTTTAGCTGTGCAAAAAAGGCACCTCGATGTATACACCGGAAGTGACTGATGAATCGATAGAAATTGATCTTCTCGGCCATGATTGTATAGCCTGATACTTGAGATTGATCGAGCCCTGTTTGACTGACCAGATTTCCTGTAGAGAGGAAGTATTCCAGCTTCCCTGCAATGTTTTCGTTTGTCCTCCTGACTATTTTCGGAAGGAAGTCGGCCTCGAATGAGGGATCTGTGAATTTGGCGTCGTTCTTAGCCCGAAGCCATTCTCGAGCCGTAGCACCGATACCCATCAGCCATTCGTAGATGTTTTCCTTTAAAATCATACCGTACAGGAAGCCTCCGAGCAGAACCTCTTGACTGGAAACAGCGTCGGGGTTGTCTAGAGCGCAATCGCCTGCAGCAAGCGCGTACAGCTTTCTGATCATGAACAGAATCAGCTGGAATTTGTCGTTATTTTGAGTGGGAGTAACATCGACGTTGCCGAGATGTGGTAGGACAATCTTCCTCAGAAACTCCTCGCCTACTTTCTCATCAGACATGGTGATAGGCTGCATCAGAACCGGTCGGAATTTCTCTCCGAGATATGCCAGTGTCTGTGTCCTCGTTTTGAGATTGTATGCTTTGTATGTCCGCAGGAGGAGCTCAGTCCGATCGGCGACAAAGGAGCTGGGTGTTTTGTTAGAGGACGACGCGCCGATGATGCCCTCGGCAATCTCATGGTCGTTTGTGTCCACTAGAGCTTTGAGGATCATGACCACAGGAACCAGATATTCGTTCTTCCTCCACGAGAATCTGAACGTGACGTTCCCATCCGTCAGGTAGTGGAGGACATTGGTATGCGAAGTCTGATCTGGCCGTACAGACCGAATCTGGATCGCGAGCTTCGAAAAGGTAGGGCCTCTCGCAGCAAACGCCGGTCTTGAAATGGCCATGGGATAGTTCCTCCTTGTCGCAATCAGCATGCGGATGAGCTTTTCGTTCCCATTGACAATAAAATAGCCGCCCATCTCTTCAGACTCTTCCTTGTGGCGTACCATCTGTGCGGGCGAGAACTTCTCGAGGTGACACCTGTTGGACCGTAACATGATTGGCATCTGTCCAAGATCCCGTATTGATTCCTGCCACTCGCCATTGTTCAACCTGTACTGTAACCTGGCTCTTAATCTTCCTCTATAAGTTGTGTGCCGCTCCCGGCATTCGGACGGGTATATGTTGCGGTCTTCAAAGCTGAATTTGTTGCTTGGAGGGAGCGTAGGTTTCTCGAGTATGAGTTCCGTCACTCTCAGGTCAAGCTTATTGCGTTGAATCGCACGGCTCGGGTTTCGCAGATCGCCATCGACAACTGTGTGGATTCCAATGTCTTTGAGCCCGGCATCAATGAGGTTTTCGTCCCATAGAGCATTGAAGGACTCAATATGCGGCTTCACTGCGGCCTGAAGCGCAGGAAAGGCGCTGCGATCTTTCGGCGTGTTTCTGAAGAGCTTATGGCGGCGGACAGTGTCGTACTCTACCGACCATTTGGTGCTGGTCTGTGTCATTGTCGCCGACATCGTGTTGGCTGATAGAATGTGACCGCCAAAGAGTCGCTCATGCAGTGTGATCACTCGAAATGTAAGTGACGAAATCAGGTACTACAAGAAAGCACTCTTAACACCAGCGCTGCCCGCCCACGAGGATTGACCGGAAATTCGAGTTTCGAGATGGTGCAGTTAAAAAAAGTTCTTTGCGCAGTCTCCGCAACCCTTATCGATAGCAGAGCCTCGCCAAAAACTCTAACCTGAGTGGGACTAGTCAGGGACTCTGTTTGGGTGCGACGAGGCTGAGTTTATTGCTCTTTTTGGACTTATTATGATCTCTACTCGGGTACTACCGAGTGTTCTGAAGGAAAATCCAAACTACCTGAAAACTCATGTGCCAGTGGTATAACTGCTTTTAACTTACTACTTATTCAGTAAAAGAAACTAAAGAAACTAAAATACCTTGGAAAGTGTCCAGCCAATTAGCCAGACCCATTGTGCTCCCAAAATTCACCGTCGTAACCCTTTGGCGCTTCAATTTCCTCGCCAACCAAAGACCATCATCAAATCTATACTCTTTACAACTCTCATGCACCCGTCAAATACTTGACCAGTTGCTCCCGTTCGCTCGTAGGCACGAGGCTCAGCACTTCACGGACCCCCTTCAGGCCACCTTCTTTGTTACCCATCAACAGCTCTGCGACCCGCTTGCTGACCGCTTCAGTCTTGACGGCATCAATCTTCGCATAGACCTCTTTCCGGTGGCTCTCATACCACTCAGCCACCTTGCGGTCATCCTTCTCGAACTCGGCATCCAGCAGACCAGACCAATTCTTCAACGTGGCGAGGTTCTGCTCTCTTTGTGTCATACCATTGGTCGTGGTGACGGGTGCGGTGCCTGCAGCCAGGCTGGTGTTGAGCTTCTTGAGAAGAACCTCCTCAGACAATCTTCTTCGAAGACGCCAGTAGAAGAATTTTCTGGCATTCTTCCATTCCAAAGGCATCCGGATCGTTCCCTTGGCCAGCATGCGACCTGCTCGATCGTGCAAATCGGCGAATTGAAGGGCGATCTGCTGGTAGATAGGTCCAAGTAGTTGTTCACGTTCAGTCATCTTAGCCTTGATGGCATTGAGTTGTTCGGCACTCAAGTTTTTGGCGAGTGACTGAGCCTTCAGCGCAGCATATGTGGGATCCAGACGGGCCATGGTCTCCAGCTGTCTTTCTTTTCGGTACTTGATGCCAACAATACCCTCAGGTTCCAAGACACCACCACGCGACTCGACGTCGGCATACATCTCCATCTGTTCAGGGTTGATAGTAGGATCAACAACAACCTGGAAAACATATTAGCATCTGGGTACGTGAGAAACGGTTGTTGTAAACTTACCCATGATCCACCACGAAGCTCACCGAAGGGAGGAATGTAGACAAAGACTGGCTGCTCATATTTGACAAGAGCATCGACAATATACGAACCATATTTGAGGACCTCGTTGTACATGTCTCGTTGACCTCCGGAGAAACCGCGCCAGTTGGCAAGAATCATACATGGCAGTTGCTCGCCATAGTTGAAGTCTTTCAAGGCTTGGGCAGTCTTGAAGGCGGAGTTGGGGAACCACACACCACCGGCCTCTTGCACAATTTGCTCCATTGAGTCAGCATTGGCAGGATCAGCAGGTGTGACGTTCTCGACAGTGCGCGTCTCAACCGCGATGACACCCATTGGGATGCCACCAAGGCGAGCGCGACCAACGACGACAGTTCTGGCCCAGCCACCGAGAGCTTCTTGGAAGGAATCCTTGTCAAAGAGACCAGACAAGAAACCTTCCTCATCATCCTTGCCAGCAATAAGGTGTCTCACATCGTAAGGCCCTCTTGGTGGGTAGAATGTGATATCACGATCCCACGGGTCTGAAGGCGGGCTCACTGGGACCGGTTGTCCTTTCTTGTCGGGGATGAAGGACAGCCACTCCACGATCTTTTCAACACCTTGGAAATCGTCGCTGGCAGTCATGTGAGAGACACCGTTCTTGTACATGATTTGGGTGCCGCCCAACTGCAAGTTGGAGGTGTAGACTTCTTTACCAAGCACCTTATTCAAAGCAGGCGCACCAGTGAGGATAATCGGTTGACCTTCGATCTGGATGGCACGCTGTCCAAGACGGACAAGGTAAGCACCAATACCGACGGATCGGCAGGTGACGAGTGTCAAGGTGAAAATGTCCTCATAGGCTCTGGATGTAGCACCTGCAATGAGACCGGAGCCACGCAAGCATTCCACGCCCAGTCCGTCCTTAGCGCCAACAATGGTCGTGATCTTGTGTCGCTCCTCGCCGTCCTCGACGACCTTTTCGGTAATGATGTCAGTCTTGCTCAGCAACTCTCTCTTCTCGGGAGTCAAATAGAGATACTTGAAGCCTGAGCTCGGGTTTGACTCATCATTCCACGCAACAGAGAAGTGAGGAATAAGCTCCTCGGCCATACCAATGCGAGCACCAGAGTTGGCAGAAAGATAAATGCGAGGAATGCCGAGTTTCCGAGCATACTCTGTGCATTTGTTGAAGAATCTGTCCTCAATGGGGCCGAAAGAGCCGATCTGGTAGGTGATATCATTGGCAATGATGATGAATCGTCTCCCTCTAGGATATTCTGGAGTTTTGGCTGTCAAAATCCAGGCGACCATACCGCAGCTGTTGGTTCCCGGCTCACGAGACACCTCAGTGACGTTGTCCGCGTCGTCGATGATCAGCTCGTTATACTCAAGACAGGTTGCCATTTCTGGCTTCGACTCGGCAAGCGGGGCATGTTTCGCCACGGCTTTGTTCCAGCTGTTGTAGATGGCCTGTCTGAAGAGCTCAGGGAAATCGTACACATACTGAGTGCCCATAATGTGGGCCTTGTATCGCTTGGGCTGCAACCATTCCTTAGTTGGGTAAGGGGTAGAGACAGGACGGAGATGCATTGAACCAATCTTAGTAGTGCCACCAATGCTCTCAAACACCCATTCGCCATTGCGTGCCTTCTTTTCGACATATGTCTCGACTTTGACAACATATCCGGACGTGTTGGTGATGATGACCCGCAGAGGGTATGGCAATCCACTCTCGGGGTCAGTGCAAAGGATTCTGATCTCAGCACCAGTTACCCGAAGGCGGAGGAACCTTCGAGAGAAGCGCTCCAAGAAACCAGCAACTTGCTCTTCCACATCTCCGGGTTGCAAATTGAACACAGGAGTGAAGTTGATGAAGATGTGGTTCAAGTCAGAGTTATTGTTGCCGATGATCTCGAGAGCGTCGCAGATGTCGTTGACCAATCGATCAGTCTCGGAGATGAGGTATTCGGCAGTAGGAATCTCGTCCTTCAAACGGCCCGGTCTGACCACGGCACGAGTGAAGTAGCGCTTATCAACGACCTTGTCCCTGTCATCGCCCTTGCCGATAGCCTCGTAGATATGAATATTTCTATTTTCTGTGAAGACTGGCTTGATCTTGAACTTCGACAATCTACCAAGTTCAAGCTGGAAGGCAAGGGCAGGTTCATTGTGACGAATGCTGACGTCCTCATCGTAGGTAGGACCACGGAATGTGAAATATCCAGGGTAGGTGCCTTCTTTGTGACCACAGATAAATGTAAGACGACGAACCCGACGGGCCAACAGTTCTGACTTGTACTCATTGATCAAGCTGTGCGCACGTTCCAGAATCTCTTCGTCGCTCAGATTTTCAATGTCGCGAATGGCGATGTTGCAGACATTTGTCAGCTCATCTTCTAGGCTCTCCGCCTTTGGTGGCCTTCTCTGGCTTTCGAGGGTTGGCATTAGATGCGTGGCGCTCGGACGCTTTTCTGGACCTCCCTTGGGGAATGCCTCAAGAGCGCGAGCAAGGCATTCGTCGACTTCCTCGAGGTAGTGGCAAGGAGCTATGACACCCTTGCGGGAAGGCTCATCGTCTCCTTGAAGCTTGTTGAGGTATGACAAGTCGCTAACGGATGCGATGCGCTTGAATTGATTGCCATTCTGGGAAGGAGTTGCTTGTCCAGATGGGTAGGATGATGCGAGGGGCAGCCCAAATTCTGATTGTCCAACTTTGCGGAGGACAAAGTCCCACGAGAGAAAGAACGGCGGCTCGACGTCATTATGATACTCCACCTGCTTGACAGTGTAGGCACGGTAGGCGCGTCGCACATAAACTTCAAGAGCAGCGAGACTGACCCATGGGTCGTGATGAGCGAAGAATAGGGGTAACACGTCGAAGACAGTGTAGCGAGAATCTACCACTTCTCTCAACACGTCAAGATCCGGCTCCCGATGCTCCCAGCCAGTCTCTCCGTATTTGGATTCAACCACTGAAGATTTGAGGATGTGCTCCATCTGAGAAGCTCTCTCTTCAAGAGAAGGTAGTGCGCACAAAATCAGAAGCTCACGGGCCTTGAGTGCAACCTTGGCTGTTGCCCGCGATTCGAGTTCTGTGAGTCGGCGCAGGGCTGGTCTGAAGTACTTGCCAACGTTACCAACATTCGGTTGGTTCGGTCTGTACATGTCCAGAATGGCGACAATCAGGTTGTTTTTGGCCGAAACACGGGTGTGGGACAACACAGTCCAAACAACCGAGAGTAGGTCATCTTTATGCTGCTCGCGAAGCTTCAAGATCACGTCTTCATCCCTGGCAGTGCCAGAGGCGAAGAGTTTCTCAACTTGGTAGTACTGGTCTAGGAGGCCGATGAACACATTGTACTCATGTGTCTTCAAGCCATCAGCGTACCCGGCGCAGACATCTTCCAGTGGCTGCAGAGTGGCGTGAAGGGCAGCCCCGTCGCTTGCGGACATGTTGTCCTCAATGTATCGGTTAATTGCCTTTTGAAGTTGCTTCGCTGGAAATTCTGCCTGGCGCGAATGTGCACGCTCTACAAGTTGCTCAAGTTGAGTGTCCAGCTTCTGCGGAGTTCTCGAGTGCAGGGCAGACGATCGAGCAGCCCATTCACCGTAGGGCAACTCTGGGTCTCTCAAGACTTGTACCAACTCCTTGAGAGTTGAG